GTTTTTTATATTAAATAGAGTGTTTGGTTGTCAAATGTGTTTGTATCATACTTGACCAATCTCGAAACTACTGAGCACCGGTCAACATTATACCGTCAAGGACCCAGAAGAGTTTCCCTCCAACCAGGAGACCAATCACAGCGCGACACGTGTCGACATCAGAAGCCAATCATAGCGCGACACATGTTAACATCAAAAGCCAATCACAACACGACACGTGTCAATGTTATAATGAAACTAGAAACTCTCTTCTATAAATAGAGATCATTCTCTCACAATATTTCCTAATGTCATTTGTACTAAATCATTCACTAGTACTCACTAAAGGAGAGCTTGAACCTATGTACTTGTGTAAATCCTTCACAATTAATGAGAACTCCTCTACTCCGTTGACGTAGCCAATCTGGGTGAACCACGTACATCTTGTGTTTGCTTCCCTGTCTCTATCCATTTACATACTTATCCACACTAGTGACCGGAGCAATCTAGCGAAGGTCACAAACTTAACACTTTCTGTTATACCAAAGTCCTCACTGATTTTGTGCATCAACAGAATGAAAAGGCGCTTTCATGAATAATTCTCAATAATTTTTTCATAAGTATTTTTTGTATATAATTAGCATACAACTTGATTAAGGGTTGATGAAAATTCAATTACAAAAAATAACGATCACTAACAAAATGATACATACTTATTAAGAATATATGTTTGTTTCTTAAAAACAAAATGACACGTTATAGTTGCATGACAATCAAATGTGAAATAAGCATTAACTAGATATAAGAAGATTAGCAATCCTTTTTCGTTCAACATCCATCTCTCGCCTATGAGTAAAAATTTTATCAACAATTTCTTCATCTTTATGATCTTCCTCATGTCTAGGCGGAAGTAGCTCATCATCATCATCATAAGGTTGGAACTCTTGATTTGTCATGGAATGCTTCCTAATAAAATTGTGTAAGGCCATTGAAGCAACAACAATTTGTACCTGTTTTTCAAAAGGGAAGTTACGCATGAGACGAATCATTGTCCATCTATTTTTCCAAACACCAAAAGTTCTTTCTATTGTGCATCTTAGGGATGAATGCCTCTGATTAAATATCTCTTTTTCCCCTCTTGGCTGACTCCCACGTCGAAATTTAGGAAGATGATATCGTTCATCGCTATAAGGTCCAATATATCCATTCATATGTGGATATCCAAGATCAACTAAATAATATTTGCCTACACCATAATTGAAAAGAAAAATATAAAGATTTTTGTGTTCATAAGATAATAAATAAATAAACACATTCATATAGGACTAAGGTTGATTACTAACCAGAAGGGGGATAAGGAAATTTCAATTCTGGTCTTCTCAAGGCCTCCATGAATATACGTGAATCATGAACAACACCCTCCCATCCAGCCCAGACAAATGTAAAACACATATTAAAATCACATACAGCCATAACATTTTGAGTTGTATTTCCTTTTCTACCTATATATGGCACTTGCATTTCTCTAGGCATCACAACTGGGACATGTGTTCCATCAATTGCCCCTATGCAACCTTTAAAATATGGCCAATACCGATTGTCATCCTTAATTTTATTTGATACTCTCTTGAATTGCCGATCATGTGGACATATAATATCAGTAGCCATGTGAGAAACAACATCCAATAGTATCCCAAACCACCTAGAAATAGTCTTTCCAGAGCGTTGAAACCTCTCTTGGACCATCCTATTAGTGTGCCCATGAACTAATGTGCTAAGAAACATTGCTAATGCTTCTTCCAGTGTTGTATCTCCAATTCTTTTTAAGCCATAATCACACTTCAAAGTCTCTAACAAGTCCTTAAAAACATGTTGTTCCATCCTAAATTGTTCATGGCATCTTCTAGGATGACCATTTAAAACTTCCATTACCCATCTATATCCCATATACGAAGAAGTCCTACATGATTCTTTGTCAACTTACTTTAACCATTCAGAGACAGCCGTGACACAGCTTGCAGAAGCCAGTTGATAAAATTCATCATAACTTCCATCAGTAGAGTTGTTTGTATTGCTACTGTCATTGCTACTAGAACTCATATCTGTAAACATAAAAGAAAATTTTAATACGAGAGGAATATATAATCATGGCAAAAATAAAGATCACATTCTGAATAAAGTTCTAAAAAATTATATAATTAAAGATATTAAAGGCACATATGTGTAACCAATCCATTACATAATAAAACCAATTCATTACATAATAAATACTTATTCAACCACCAAAAAAAAAAACATGTCGAAAAATATAATCCTAAGATAAATGTGACGAATCAAATTTTCTTGCTCTTGAGCCACATGATTTGTCGGTTAGATTGCTTCAATGCAACAAACATCTCTCTATTTTTTCTTTCAGTGAAGATATCAGCCGCTTTCATAAGAGCTCATCATCATTCACAACTTCATGCATTCCTTCCAAAACTTGCATCACTTCCTCAATGCTATAACCAGGCTTATCTGTGCTCTTAGAACAATTGTTTACAACTTCTAAAATACCATCTAATTGTTTTATCATCTTGGCCCCAATTCCAACTCTTTTGGAATCTCTTGTTCTTTTTGTTCCTTCAACGGCTATGTTGTCAAGCCCCTATCTATGTCATTCTCCAAATCATCTTGACCGTCATTTTGTTCGCCTGTTGGAGCTTTCTAGACATTATTACTCATCAGCCCTTGTGAGGGTGCCCATGCACCTACACATATAACAGCTCATTCTTTAAACAAAATGTCTAGTTGGTCAACATTTTTCAGTCCACTATTTCGATATTTCTCAACTTTAGAATTCTCCTGAAATATGACCAACTACAATTAACAAATTATGATAAAAGAACATAAATATGAAGTTAGATTTCCATGGATATGAGATAATAATTTCTCACCTTCACTTTTTTCTCCCACCATTCATCACTTGCAATGATAGTTTGCTTCACAAGATCTCATCCTAAGCCAGTCTCTTTTCCAACTAATGATGCCCACAATTGCCATTCTTTCTTAAGTGCAGTCCATTTGTTCTTGAGTTGTTTATGAACATATGACCTTTGAGTAAGGTCATTAAATTTTTTAATAACATTTTTCCATCCAATTCTATTAAGATGACCACCTATTTGATTTCCGGCTAATGTCTCAGCTACACAAACACTTATAAATATCTCAACACTTGCATCATCCCACATTGCCTTGCTCTTTTTTTCGTTACCTTCTCCATGATCTTGTATATCTTTAGCTATATTATTAGACATATCTATAAAGAGAAGTGGAAAAAAAAAAAAAAAAAAACCATAGCACATAATAAGAGCATACACCACTACTTACGTCCTAGCTAACAACACAAAAGTAAATTAAAAGCAATAATGCAAGATTTGTAACTAGTATTTGTTATATATAATAATGCACTACACCGTTGCTTCCAAGACTGCAATGCGCCACTGCTTACACCATTGCTAACACCACTGAATATGTATCTAGTATTTGTATAGATAATGCATGATATGTAACCATTAACAATAAATTCATAGTGTTGCTTTCTGTTATCATTGGAAGTTAATTTGCTATTAGTAGTATCTACAATCGTTAATGCGGCATCAAATCTCGACAGCAATACAAGCCTTCAAACATGAAGGCCTTTGAGTAACTGTGGGAGGATAAAATTGGGTTTCGACTTATAAGCCAATACTAATCGTCCAAGGAGAAGGTGTTGTGCAAGATAAACTGTGAGGAAAGCCCACAAGAAATATACAAACACAAGGGAAACGTGTCTAGATAACTACCCCTACAAACGCAAGGGGAATGTGCCTAGATAACTACCCCCACTACGGAGGACAAGTGGGAGAGGAAGATAGGTCATGGTACTTGTTCCCAAAGCATGCAATCATATAACAGAGGACCACGAAAGAAGTGGGAAAGGAGGACAGGTCGTGGTACTTGATCCTTAATCATGCAATCCTATCAATTGACTGACTTGAGCGTAGGAGTATCTCTTGCAAGTACCCCGCCTAAGCAAGCTACAGATGAAGACTATTCAGGGACACCTCTAATGAAGGATTCGACGAACATGATGATTGCGGTCAACAAATCTGTGGAGGTATTTTTCTAGTAGGAAATTTCGCTCCAACAGTCGGCGCTGTCTGTAGGAACCGAACAAAATCAAGGTACAAACATGACTGGATCCACACAAGAAGTTCCAAATCCCTCTAGAGATACAGGGACTCGATCTGTGCATGTGAGGTCTCAATCCCAAAATAGTGAACCCAGTCTCGCCATGGAACAATTTAAAAAGCTAACAAGGGAATTGCCTAAAATAAAAAAAAAGACAACAGATGAGGCGTTAAAGAAGGCTGAAGCGAGAAACATAGTGGAAGATGTGACCGGCACCAAGAGATAGCGTGCAGAAGAGGAAGATAAGGAAGGTAGCTCTAGTAACGTGTCATCCAGCAATTGTGATGAAGTGATGAAAAATCAGGGCGACGAAGATTATAAGGGAAAATGATGGAAAAAAGTAAAAGATGTTGATCTGTGAGAACAAATTGAAAAGATTGTGAAGGGATACAAACCACAGACCCCGGCGAAACTTGCCTTAGAAACGGCCAGAAAGATCCATAAATCATCGTTCACAAAGGACTTAAAGCAATAACAGGAAACATCGGGGCGGATGAAGGGTTGTTGGATATCAATGTCATACATGGTGGACCTCAACCTCATAAGGGATGCGAAGCATGCTCTCGATCACAAAGACGAGAAGCTAAGAAGTCTAGACGCGTGCACAGTATAACATCAACCCTTGAAGCGTCCAAAGCATTAGAGAATTTCGGAGTCATCTATTTAGCCAAAAAAACCTCGAAGGAATTTAATTCCCTCACAATGATGCACTGGTCGTGACGCTACGCGTTGCCAATTCAAGAGTGAAAAAGATAATGATTGATGGGGGGAACAACACAGATGTTTTATTTTGGAGCACATTTAGAAGGATGGAATTAAACGAGAAAGAGATAAGGCCAAATCCAACTCCCATCTGTGCGTTTGAAGGAACTAAAGCCCGGCTCATTGGAGACGTGGCTCTTCCCGTCACTGCAGCAGGTAAGACTATTTTCGTCACTTTTGTCATCATCAACTCACCAAGTGCGTATAATGCCATTATGGGAAGGGACTGGATCCATCGAATGGATGGGGAAGCGTCAACCAGATGTCAAGTAATGAGGTGTTTGTCGACGGATAGTCAAACAACAATCGACATTAAAGGGGATCAGCTGGAGGCTAGAAAGTGCTACAGCATGGCAACAAACATCAAGATAACCAAGGAAGTACAACAAAGCTTGGACTTTCATGAGAATAAACCATTATAGCAATTAGCGGAGGACCCACCACAACAAGATCAGAAAAGTGACCATCAAGAACCCTCGACTATAAAACCACTGAGGGAAGAGGTTTTAGATCCAACCGATCCTGATAAACAAATATGGGTGGGCTTCCTTCTATCTGATGCGGAAGTCGAAGAGTTGTTGAAATTTCTGAGGAGCAACACTAATGTTTTTGCATGGTTCCATAGGGACATGACAGGAATTGACCCGGAAGTGGCATATCACCAGCTGAATGTGGATCCGAGTTATCCTCCACACCGACAAAAACAGAGGAGATTTACGCTAGAGAGAAATCAGATTATCAGTGTAGAAGTCGATAGACTCCTCGAAGTTGGATTCATTCGTGATGTCTGGTGCCCAACTTGGGTTTCAAATGTCATGGTGGTAGGCAAGAAAGAAAAAGGAAAATGGCGCGTATGTGTGGATTACACCAACTTGAACATGGTGTGCCAGAAAGACTGTTTTCCAATTCCAAAAATTGACCAGACGGTGGATGCTACTGCCGGGTATGCATTGTTGTCTTTCTTAAACGCTTATTCTAGTTCTAACCAAATTCCTATGGTTATTAAAGATCAAGAGAAAACTGCTTTTATCACTAAGCGTATGTTGTATTGTTACATCGTCATGCCTTTCGAACTCAAGAATGTCAGCTCGACTTATCAAAGGTTAGTGAACAAGATGTTTAAAAATCAAATTGGAAATACAATGGAGGTTTACATTGACGATATGGTTGTCAAAAGTCGAGAAAGGTGCCAACACATCAATCATCTACACAACATTTTCAACATATTGAAAAGATATCGCATGCGGCTAAACTCGGAAAAATGTGTATTCGATGTATCATCTGGGCAGTTCTTAGGGCACATAGTGAACAAACGAGGCATTGAACCAAACCCAGCGAAAGTTGAAGCCTTGTGTAACATGTCGGATCCAATAACACCTAGAGACATTCAAGTGTTAACTAGGCGAGTTGTTGCCCTTAGCCGTTTCATTTCACGATCATTCGATCGATGTGAACCTTTTTTTCAAGCCATACAAAATAGGAGAGGAAGTGTGTGGGGGCATGAGCAAAAGGAAGCTTTCGAACAACTGAAGAAGTATCTCATAAGCCTATTATTGTTAACTATCCCTAAGCAAGGTGAGCCGATGTGCATGTACCTGGCCGTAAGCGAAAGGGTAGTAAGTGCTGCGTCATTCAGAGAAGAAGGCTCAGTTCAACAACCCATATTTTACTTGAGCAAAAGTTTAATTTATGCATAGAAGAGGTATTCACCCATTGAGAAAGTGATGCTGACCTTAATAACCGCAAAGAAGAAGCTATGTCAGTACTTTGAGGAAGACACCATTTTGGTGTTAACTAATCAACCAATCAGGGTTATCTTATCTAAATTGGACTTATCGGGAAGAATTACGAAGTGGGCCATCGAACTTAGTTCATTTGACATAAAGTATCGGCCTCGAAGCGCAACTAAAGAACAGGTAATTGAGGACTTTCTTGTAGAGTGTTATCCTCGTGAAAGTTTGCAGGGTGAATGCGAGGAAATTGCGGAAGTCGACCTTAATGAGACCAGGTGGGAGCTATATGTGGATGGGTCATCCAATCAAGCAGGAGTTGGGGCAGGGATCATTTTAATTTCTTCTGAGGGTGTAGACTCAGAGCGTTCGGTTCGGCTAGATTTTCCTGCATCAACAATGTGGCGGAATACGAAGCTCTTATACTAAGCCTCAAACTTGCGAAACAATTGAAGATAAGTCATCTCATCGTGCATAATGATTCATAACTTATCGTCAGCCAAGCCACTGAAGAGTATACAACTAAAAATGCAAGGATAGAAGCATATCAGTAGCTGGTTAAAAGGTTGGCGAATGGATTCAAGTATTTCGAGCTAAAGCAAATACCTAGAAAAATGAACAAAAAAATGGATCAACTAGCGTTTGCGGCATTGGCCGTACAAAAGAACCTACGGGTAACCGAAGTAGAATGTCTGTACTCCCCGAGTATTGGGGTAGTGAGATCAAATGTGATGCAGGTAGATGGGCAAGGGGCGAGACTTGATAACTTGTTGCTAGAGCAGGCTCAAGCTGAAGATGATGACTGTTAGATGACACCATTCATAAACTACTTGACAAAAGAGATCCAGCCAGAAAATCATGTGGAAGCGAGAAAACTCCGAATAAAAACAGTAAGATATGCAATCCTTAATGACACGCTCTATAGGAGGTCATTCTCAGGACCATGCCTCAGGTGCTTAAATCCAAGGCAATCTGAATGGGTCCTAAGAGAATTACATAAAATAATGTGTGGGAATCATTCTGGAGGAAGAAGTTTAGTGCATCGAGCATTAACCCAAGGCTACTTCTGGCCGTACATGGCTTGAGACCCAAGGCTACTTCTGGCCGTACATGGTTTGAGACGCAAAGCGGTATGTAAGAAAGTGCGACAAATGCCAGAAATATGCACCGGTTGTTAGACAACCTGCCGAAGAATTCAATCCAATCGTAGGACCCTGGCCATTCATTAAATAAGGAATGGACATTGTAGGCCTGTTGCTAAAGGCGCCCGGGAATAACAGGTTCGTAGCTAGATTTTTCTTCTTACTCTGCCTCTAAGTCAGAATCTCATTTAGTAAATCCTCGGAAGCAGGGAAATTAGCTTCCCATTTTTTTTTCAAGATCTAGTAAACATCATCCTTCCAGAAGATCTCGCTGAACGTAGCCTGAGATATACCCAAAATTATATGCCTCCGCGTATTCTTCTCTAAACGTCATATTGCGAAATGCACACATGCCCACTATTTCCAACTCATATCTGCAAAGAAAAGGTTGTCTTTTTGTTTGATCTCACAGTGAAGTCTTTCCACCTCTTATTAAAGACCAGTCTGCTTCCCTTCCTAAGCACTCCGCTCCGAAGACTAACACATGCTCTAACTCAGCTTCAAGGCATACCAGAGCTTACTCCACCTCAACTTTAGCTTTGTTCCAACTCTTCTCGCACCTTGGCAAGATTTGCCTTGTACTCGTTCACTTTAATGTCCTTAAAGGTAGTTTTGTAATGTATTTCTCCACTTCTACCTCATGAGCTTCCTTCATGGCTTATTGCTCCGCTTGCACTCTCCTGAGCTCCGCTGGTTGAGATTGCAATTATTGCTCAAGTTGCAACTTAGCATCTGACTCGTGTAAGAAAAACCACTCAAGTTGACAAATTCACTCTAGTTAAGGGAAGAAAGCCGCCTCTGTCCAGACATGAGGCTGATTAACATAAGGAAAAGGGAAAACCAAAATTATTAAGTCATTTTGTAAGAAGATGATGAAGGATTACCTCATATCGGCTTTCGTGACATCGTATAATGGCATCTTCAAAAGACATGAGAACTTCCTTGTAGTCTTAGATGCAGTTACAGCACCAAGAAGAGCTCGAGCAAAGTTCGCGTTTTGGAGTCAACTGATGCGAAAATTATCTTAACACACAAATTTAACCCTCTTTTGACAATCGTAGTACAAGTATAAGTAGGGATCGTTCTGGACCGGGGATTAAGAGGGCTTGCTAATAACCTCTAAACTAACTCAAAAACATAAAACTAAACATAAAAACACTTAACAAGACTCATAAGACTCAAAGCAAACTTAAAATGCTCAAAACAGCTTAAAACAACCAAATAAACTTAAACTAGACACTAGGAATGACTTTGGACGAAAATTGACTTTTACTTGAATCAAAACACTTAAAAACACAAACTAAAACAGATTTGAAACACTTTGAAACAAGAAACTAAAAGGGGGGGTTTTGATTTGGATGAAGTTGAAACAAACAAACAAACAAGTATGAAAAACTAGACAGATTGTAAAACAAATGTGAGAAATAAGATGATAGATGGGATAGCTAGAGGCTTTTTCTCCACACATGACATGTATGCAAATAACTCGATTTCCAGTTAATACTTCATTGAATTATGAATGACAATGCTCCAAATTAACCGTGACATCACTAGTTAACTTTCAGTTTTTTCTTGTTTTATTGGATTGGATGACATCATTCGACAACCCAAAACATTCTTCTAAAGTTCCCTACATGACATCATAATAGAGATACAATCAAAGATCATTACATTTAATGAAAATCATAAGCATTGACAAAGCACTTGCAACTATGACATCATGTCACTTATGCTAGGAATTGAACTTAACGCGATCGTTTATAAGCGACCTTCACTACATGTGAATAAAAGTTTGTAACGATTATGTGAAACTTCCTTATATTCTAGCAACGAATTTATGCATGCCAATTAAGTGTCGACCCTTAATTAACAAATACAAATAAGTTATCAATCAAATAGTTAAGCCAATTGCATTCACGATTCAAGAATTCATAACTGGAATTTATCAAATTATATTGCACACATAATCATGGCTTTGAAATCACCCTTAGCCAAGAGGGGTTTAGCCACTCATATTTACAACAAAACGAAAGGAAATGAATTTAAACATTAGAAACAAAAGAAAGAAAACACCTAAACGTTCCAACGATCCAAGTTGGACAGCAAGCACGTCCAAGCACTTTCCTTCCCTTCCTTTGCTACGGCACAAGGTGTTGGTGAGTGTTTGAAGGTTTGTTTGTATGGAGGAATGGCTGAATGTGTTTAGGTTGGATGGAGGTCACAGCAAGGAAAGGGAAATGAAGGTGCATGGAATTGTGTTTTTGTTGTGGGAATGTGTAGAATGGTTAAGAAGAAAAGACTCTGCCTTGCGGCAGAATGTGTCTTCCTCCCTTCTCCCTAAACTGTCCCCTTGAATGTGTCTTTGGATGGATATATTTATAGGCTAGGGAGAGGATGTAGTGGGTGGTGGTAATGAGTGGATGTAGTGGTAGGTGAATGTGTTGGGTGGTTGAAATGAGTGGATGTGTTGGGTGAAATGAGTGGATGTAGTGGTAGGTGAATGTGTTGGGTGGTTGTAATGAGTGGATGTGTTGGGTGAAATGAGTGGATGTAGTGGTAGGTGAATGGATGTGTTGGGTGGTTGTAATGAGTGGATGTGTTGGGTGAAATGAGTGGATGTAGTGGTAGGTGAATGTGTTGGGTGGTTGTAATAAGTGGATGTGTTGGGTGAAATGAGTGTATGTGTTGGGTGAAATGAGTGGATGTAGTGATAGGTGAATGGATATGTTGGGTGAAATGAGTGGATGTAGTGGTAGGTGGATATTTTGGGTGGTTGTAATAAGTGGATGTGTTGGGTGAAATGAGTGTGCTAAAATGGTTATTTATAGGGAGAGGATGATGCACAAACTTCAAATTCCGTCCATTCCTTTTGCTCCAAGCATATGTTATCCATTCCATGCCAAAAAATGCTCCAAAATGCACTTCTTTGCCACATTAACCCTTTGGACCTACAAACACGCGAAAATAGCTTAATATACTAAAATAACTACGAACTAACAACATAAATGCCAAGAAACAAGCTAACTAAGTCGCATAAATATGCTCATATCATCAACCAGCATTTGCTCGAAGAGCAACATGGTTTATTGAAGGCCTAATCATGAGTGGAGGTTGCTTTCCCCTTTCAAGTCTGGTTGAAGTTGTCAGCAAAGGGATGTTGACTCTAGATGGCACCTCAACATACTCAGGTAGACTTCGTATCACTGGAGGTATCACAGATGCGATGGAAAGAGAATCAAAGACTGGAACCTCACCTTGACATGGCGGCGAAGCTATCTGATGTTGCAAGGATGAAGATCCGAGATTCATGTTGTTGTTGCTGCATCGGTTCTTAAGATAGACGAGGGAGAATTTGAGACCTTCCTATGAGAGGTTGCGATGCAGATGTCTCTAGGTTTATAGTTGTTGGAGTAGCATAACGTCTTTTTCTCTTCAACAGTGGAAGTTCATCATCCTCTATAGGATTCTCGGGTATCATTTATGTTATCGGTAGCCAGATTTAAGAAGATGTATCTAATGACGTTGAGGAAGTGCTGCCAAACCACTTTCGCTTCTTTCTTACTCTAGCCCACCAATCATAACTACATGTATTACGGCTGGGATCTCTTAAGCTACTAACTTGAACATTACAAAATGGGGTAAAAAGGCTCCTCTGACATTATTATTTTAAATTTTTTTAGACTTACAATCAGGTGAAGTTTTCAAGGTTGTTCATTGCTCAAGTGATTAAGATTTCATGCATTACCTAAAAAGAAAAAAGAAACAAACATTGATCATGAGATAAGCAAACTTCAAAATTTCTTTATTGATAAAGAAAATAGGTTTGTTGACAAGGCAGTTTGGTTGAATCTAGGATTGCCTACATATGTTCGAGAAGGAATACCAAATCACTGATGTAGTTCTAAGAAAAATGATATGACATAAAAATTATATCAGGGATCATCTTTGACAAGCAACCTATTGCGGGGCGTTACGGAGATGAGTTCACCATAGACGTGTCTTCGCAACAGATGGTGGCGTTAAGTTAATGATTTTAGATTTGTTCAATTTTTTGCAAGTTTGATCTATGAAAAATGTTCTAGAAGACTGATTATTTGATTTATTAAAATACATTACCGAGTGCGCCCTACAAAAACTTGTGTCAAAAGTTGTGTAAAAATAAATGGTTACATTAAATAGCACATGGATCAACAAGAAGGTGGCTGGGTGCCAAACCATGACAATCAATGAAGGTGGCCGAATCAAGACTAGGGAGGAAGATGGTTGGTAGTACAATTTTTTTTTTTT